TCTGCCGAAACTCTAATAAACAATTAATGTGTAACCTGTCGAAACTCTGTCAATTGATTTCTGGAGGAGTTTCTCCCGCAACCTTAGTTCATACATCTTATGACTAACAAACCCTAAAGGCATGGATCCTGATTCAGAAAGTGAAGACAAAGTATGGGTTCTATTGTTTCCTGGTTATTCAATCTTAACAAAAAAGAATAAGCTCATTCAATTGTCTATCAATGTAAAAAATGACACAGAGCTGCAGTATACACTTGATAATTTTGAAGCTGATCATACATTCACTAATTTGAAAGAAATAAAACATTATAATTATATGTTTACAACATTGAGAGATGAATTAGAAGTCAAGGAAAATTATCTATTTACATGCAAAAGTAATTGAAAAATATCCATCATTGATAAATTTTTTAGATATTAGCAATGCTGCAGCAGAAGAAAGTGTTCAAAATGGCTTGCTCTTTTGGTATCAAGCAATTATTGACTTGAATTATATAAAGTAAATTGGGAATGTAAAAAAAAATAAAAAGAACATATTGTGAATTAAATAAGTTAGATGATGATGATAAAATACATCATCAAATAATAAAGAAGAATCGAAAATTCTGTTAATAAATCATTGAAGGCAATAATTTAGACTTGATGATATTTATGTCCGCATAAAATTATTTGAAATTAATACTAACATCCCCTTGCAATCATTGTGGCAACTTAGATCTAAACTCAAAAGAACTGAGAGTTAAAGCCTGGAGCCTTTATTTATTAATTATAATCTGGTGCTGGTTTTTGGATATCAGATTCAAAAATTACAGGTGTTGCTGAAGATGCCGAGGAAATGGTTTATTCTTATTCTTTGGATTACTATTTGTAATATTATTATTTTATCTATTAATTTACTGCGTTATTGATTTTCTTACCCTTAAATCGGTGGGATTAATATAAAATTTATTATAAATAAGTTCAAGTGATTAATTCTTTTTCGTTTAATAAAACACTTGTGGTCGGAAATTAAACAGTAGGATTTAAATAATTTTCAAAGTGGTATAAAACTCTGAGGTCTCAGTTATTTGCTTTAGTGAGAAAGCAAAAATTTAATTTTAATGTTGATTAACCAGTTTAATGTTAACAACGGGTAGTAAGGTTTTTGCTTAGTAAAGAATCAAAGGTTCAATTTTTGTTTACATTTTTGTAAAGAGTTTAAGTGTAAACGTAAGATGTAGCTGTTTGGCAAAAGTATAAAGTGTTAACGATTGTTAACCAAATTATAAAGTGCAGACATTTATTAATCAAAGTCGTTATTAAAAGAAAAATGGTTTGAGTAACTAAGCTTTTAAGCAGCCAAGGAAGAGTAAAAATAAATAGTAAATAAAAAAGGAACCTTAGAAAAGCCATTGTTGTTTTCTAAAAGGGCTATTTTTATTTATTGTGAATCATACCATAAAATATGCTTACAGATCGCCGAAGCTTTCTAGGTACAAGTAAGAGGCAGTAAGCAGGATAAATATAAAGGCTTGCAACTAATCGACGAGTGTTCATTCAAATTCGGCATAAACAATCAGTATTAACCAAAAAACTACCTCACAGAATCCATTATTGCTGCATAAAATAATCATCCCTATACCCATGTAATATACATAATAATATTATTGATCAACAATGGTATCATGATGGCTTCACAATGGGATTTAACCAAAATGAGATTTGAGTTGCAATATTTTTCAGATATTTCATTACCAAATAATTTCTATAAATATAATGATAATCATGCAATATTTAACAAGGATAAGACCTTATTAGCAGTTTATTTATATGTAGAAAAACAATTAATTATTTATTCAACAGCATATGGAACCAAGTTAACAACATGTAGGTTTCTATTTTTTTTATTGTTTACTATTTGTTTATTTATTTTTTATTTATTGTTTCCTTTTTTCTAACATCTTTCTATTTTCTTAAAAATTATTCAGTTACATTTGTAAAAATCGAATGTGATGAAATGGTTTTTATATACACAGAAGACAACACAGAGCATTTATTTGTAGCATTACAAGACGAATATATTACCAACACAGTCATTTATAGATTCATGGATCCATATAATTTAAATAATTTTACTGATATAACTGAAATTTATACAAAGTATTTATTTAAAGATAATCTAATTAAAAAACATCACAAAAAAAAATTAGAAAAAAATAAAGTAATTAAAGTAATGGATAATAATTTTATTTTTTTACAAGAAATTATATCAAAAGAAATTAAATTGCCAAATTCACACCTAAAGAATTTCAACCATTTATTTTTATCACCATTTATACTGGAGAGTATTTGTAAAATATTTGACGAATTATTAAGTGATGAAATTACAGATTATTTTCAAGATAAATTCGAATTAGAATCAAATAACAATCAAATTAAATGGACAATAGATCATTATGATAAAGAATCAGGTTATTTGAAATTAAAACATTTAGGGGCTAAGTTAGATGAATATGATTATTTTGAACAATGCACCCATTTCTTATTAAGGTGTAAAATATTAGAAAATGATGATTTATTATTAATCACAAGATTAGGTATGATGATATTTTCAGTGAATCTTAATGATAAAATTTATTTAAAATACTTTTGGAATGATTGTATTGAACAAGAGAAAAAACATTGGATGAGACATACAAGTGACAAACAATATATTAAAGGTAGAATTTTAAAGGGGTTTGACAGCTTTAAAACCTCAAATAAATTACCTTCACCTAATTATGACCAAACTTGTATTAGTGAGGTTACTTCAGGGCAATCATTTTCTGAAGGCTTTGCCAACTTTAAAAAATTAAATAGATTACCTTCACTTAACTATAATTATATCTTTGATAATTATAACCAATCTTATGCTGGTGGAAATAACATTTCAAGGCATCCATTCAGAGATATGTTATTAGCAATATTAGAAGATATTTCTTCGTTTACAATGTTTGCTGATGAAATCTTAATATGTGCTTTAAATAATCATAAAGGTTCAATAGTAGAACTAGTTTGTGATAAATGTCTAAATTTTTTACAACAAAATCCTGAAATGAATCTTGGATTATTAACATTTTTAGTAAACAAATTACCAAAATTAAGTAAACATTATCCTGGGGTAGTAAAGAGATTTCTTGAGCAAACGTCAATGTTATTGGATCCTTCTTGTGAAAAAATCTTTATATCAGATTTGCCAAGTCATTATGGGCGTTGCTATGACATTGATTTATATAGAAATAATTTTTTTTGGAACCTATATTTTTTATTTCATAATAATTATTATAAATTTACAAAAATAATTGGAAAGCATTTTGATGATTATTCAATATTTTCAAATAATTATGAAAAATATTCTTTAAGTTTAGTTGTACCTTTACCAAAATTCACAAGTTATCCAAATTGTTATTCATTTTGGAAAGAATTATTATACAGACCTGATTCTAATACTTTTATTAAAATGAACAGTAAAGAATTATTTAAAAGCTGGAATGGTGAAGCTTTATTAGATTTTAAATGGCATAAATTTGCTTTAAAATATTATTTAGGAATTTGGTTATATTTTATAATATTTTTTGCATCTTTTTCATTTATCACAACTTTAAAAAATGATGTAGATAAAGTTACAAGGAACATAATTTTATTAATTTCAATCATTCTTGGTTTTTCTCATCTAATAATTGAATATAAAAGATTTATATGGAGTCCAAAAAATTATTTATTTGATTTTTGGAATTATTTTGGTAAGGATATTTATATTTATATATATATATACATCTATCTATTGTTTTT